AGCCCAGGAGTTTGAGGTTGCTGTGAGCTAGGCTGACGCCATGGCACTCTAGCCGGGGCAACAGAGTGAGACTCTGTCTCAAAAAAAAAAAAATACTTGAATGAAAATTTCACAAAAGAACAAGGGTGGCTAATAAACATGAAAATACATACCATATTCCACACTTAAGAAATTGGGAAAAATTAGTTTGATAATACCAAATGCCAGCAAGGATATGGAGAAATAGGAGTTCTCATTTACTGCTGGTGGTTATTAAATTGACGTAACAATCTTAGAAAATAATTTGGCAAATCCGTAATAAAACTGAAGGTGCATGTATCTATGCAGTTCCACTCTAGGTGTTTGCTGGGTTAAATAGTGTCCCCCCCCTGAAATTCTTGTCTATCCAGAGTCACAGAACATGACCTTCTTTGGAAGTAGGGTCTTTGCAAATGTAATTGGTAAAATGATGTCATATGGATTAAGGTAGGCCCTAAATCCAATGACTGGTATCCTTATAAGAAGGCCATGTAAAGACCTGCAGAGAGTGGAGTGAAGCAGCTACATGCTAAGGAGCACCAAGGATTGCCGGGAAGAAGCAAGGAAGGATTCTTCCGTAGGTCCTTCACAGAGCATAGCCCTGCCGACATCTTGATTTTGGATTTCTGGCCTCCAGAACTATAAGAGAATAAATTTCTGTTGTTGTAAGCTACCTAGTTTGTGGGAATTTATTATGGCATTAATATTTGAAATAGCAAAAAAACAAATAACATGGCATATTAGTTTTCTATTGCTACTATAACAAATTACCACCAACTTAATGGCTTAAAACAACACAACTTTATTATCTTACTTATTGTAGTCAGTCTAAAACGAGTCCACAGGACTGCAGTCCTTCTGGAGGCTCCAGGGTAGCATCCATTGCCTTGCTTTGTCTAGCTTCTAGGGGCCACCTACAGTCCATGACTTTGAGCCCTTGAGCCCCTTCCACCATCTCCAAAGCCAGCAGCATAGTATCTCCTCTCCTTTCTGCCCTCTGCTTCTGCTCGTACATTCTCTAACTCTGACATTGAGACATTGCTGATTCTCTATCATAAGGACCCTTCTGATTACACTGGGCCCACCCAGGGATAGTGTAGGATAATCCCCTTTTCCGAAGGTCCTTAACTTGATCATGTCTGCAGAGTTTCTTTTGCCATGTAAGATAGCATAGTCACAGGGTCCTTTCTGGCATTAGGTCATAGATATCTTTGAGGAGGCTGTTATTCATCCTACCATACCTGGGAATAATCAAAAATTCATTACAAGTAAAATAAGCAAATATTGATATATTCATTCTGGAATACTGTACAACAGTAGATGAGTAAACTGTAGCTATATGTATTAACATGAATGAATCTTAAAATACTGGATAAAAAGTCATAACATTACATTTAATGTCATTCAGTAAGTATGAAGATTAAAACTAGGTACTTTTAAATCAATATATTGTTTAGAGATACATATCTGTGTGTTTGTAGGGATGTGTGTGCATAATAAAAGTAAAAAGAAAAGCAAAACACTGTTCATGCAAGTTTGTGGTTATCTCTGGGGGAGGAAAAGAGGGGATATAATTAGTATGATTAGGAAAGGGCCTACAGGATGATACAAGAATATTCTTTTTATTCCTATTCTTTTTTATGACCATTGAATATCCCTGTTCTTAACTTACAAATATTACACTCTTGTTTGTAAATTTCACAATTAAGAACTTTAAAAGAGCCGGGCGCGGTGGCTCACGCCTGTAATCCTAGCACTCTGGGAGGCCGAGGCGGGCGGAT